GGGGGGAGGGGGAGAGGAAGAAGAACAATAAAGAAGAAGAAACCATGCGAATGTGAGAACTCTCCCTATTCATTTGATCAGAAACTGGAGCAATTGGCGAATACTACCAGAGCAGGTACTGAGCAGTGCTCCCCCTATTGACAAACAGTGTAACTGCAAGGATGCGTCACCACCTCGGTCTAAAATGCATACGGATTACCCTTAAGCACCCTTTCAGATTTCCTCGTGCCGCCTATACATGCAAAAATAAATTTATACTTCCTCCCGCTTTTTGACGTAAAACATAGCACACGGCATGCTCTTTTCAATCTTACAATCTCTTCCTTCCTCGCTTAACCATATATCTTGGACATATTTCCAGACAGCGTGGAGAGCATCCTTGCTTCTTCTTAACGTCAGCGTGGCTTTTTCTTGCATAGTTCTATGGCTAGTTGGCTTTTTTGCTTTTGGATGTTTAGTTAGTTTTCAATTTGTTGTGTGAGCTAAGGACGTAGCCACGAATAACCTGCACATTTTCACTCCAGACACAATGGAGTCTATCTTAGACAGAAGGAAATGTACCTTTATAATTTTGACAGATCATTCCAAACAATGCTCCACCTGCTGCGTGGCAGGACGTCTAATAATGTGCTGAGTGATCGTTGTCTCCCTCACTACCCACGACCAAGAGTGACTCAGAGTCTACGGTCAAAGGCCAGCCACGCGGGGCTTCTAGCCACCCTAAAGGGAATTGTCAAAGGAACAAATGCCGGTTGTTTTGACCACCAAGGACGTAACAAGCATGAAACTTGATCAGATTCAAACTGGGCAGTTACTTGGAGAAGATGTTTTTGCAGGGGTCGGGGTAGGCCATTGTTCCAAACTCTGACACCACGATCCTGTTCGCCTCGATGTTGGCATTGTAGGTGTCACTTTTCAGGTATTTGCTCCTGTAATAGACCTCACCTGAAAGAGAAGAATCAGGTTAGTCTCAGGCCGACCCCTTTACAAAGCTTTAAAATTGATGTGTGCCATTCTAGGCGCTTTGCTGGGGGAAAAGAGTACCCCAGGATAGGCTTCTGCAACGTGAGTGCCTGACACAGCCAGCACATGGTGTGTGCTTTCACACACACACACATACACACACACACACACATACACACACACACACCTTCTCACTTGAGAGTTACCAATATAATAAGGGAAGTAGGCTTGACTCAGCTCTATTTCTACATGAGGAAACCGAGGCACAAGCACATTCAACCGCCTCGCCTAGCCTTTTCCAGATGTTCGTCATCCCTCCCCGTGTTGGGTCCCTCCGTCCACGCTGGCATTCCTTCCGCCATATTGCTATCCTTCTTGCCATGTGGGCATTTCTTCCTCCACCTTCATGTCGCTCCCTCCATGTTAGCAGCCCTTCGGGGAAGGCACAGGCCTGGAGGATGGGTCCAGAAGGCTGCATTTTCCCATGCTTCCATTCAGTGTGAGGCGTCCTGCCTCATCCTGCGTTGACAACATCAGCCCCCTGGAGTGACACGCTTCTTCGCTATCCCGTACAGCCCGGGACCACCTAAGCCTGGTCCTGTGTGTCAGTAGAGGGTCAGAACTCTGATGCTGCTTTCACCAACTGTGGGAGCAGCTTTTAGCATTAGAGTAAAGCAGGGATTCTTGGCCAGGCCTGGGAGGCCAACCCAAGAGAACACAAGATGGGTCTGGACCAGGGATAGCGAGCGTTTTGGAGCTTTCAGTGATCCCAACAGCCCACAGCAGCACACGCATTCTGGACTTCCTACCACAGTTCTAGACTCAGTTTCCTGTGACTGCTGAAACAAGTGGTCATAAACTTCATGGCATAAAAAGACAAACGGTGGTTTCCTTATAGTTTTGGAAGACATAGTGAAGTGGCGCCTACAGGCCTAATTCCTCCAGAGGCTCGGGGAGCCAACCCTTGTTTTCTTGAGTTCCAGGAGCTCCTGTGTCCCTTGCCTTGTGGTTCTGTCACTCTGGGATCTGTTTCATCCACACTTCTCTTTTGACTCAGAGCCACCTTCTTCTTCTGAGAGCGCTGGTACCCCGGAGGCCCACCCAGGTCCCCATGGGTGTCCCTGCCTTCAGATCATCCCTCCCAGTCTTCTGTGCCATGTAGGGTGGTGCACACCACACCCAGGGGTCCCTCTGAGCAGAGCAGCAGGAATGGGAGAGGGGCAGGGAGACGGGCATGGCCCATCATGCTCCGGCACATAGCGCGCGCCAGGGCCAGTAAGTTCCCCTCTGGGCTCTCTGTGGAGGCCACCGCCACACAAAGTGCTGGCTCTGGAGCTCTGGACCCCTGGAATGGGCATTTGGCCCAAAGGGCTGAATTCTTTTCAGTTGAAACATAAACTCAGGCCTCGCTTTTCCTCAGCCAGCGGAGCAGGAGCGCAGAGCCCCCGGGGCCGCAGGGAGCAATGTCACTGGAATCTCTGGAGGCTGATGCAGGACTGAGAGTTTGTGATTAAAGACAGAGCCACTGTGTTCCCCTCCTCCCAGCACCCAATTAGCCACATTCCTTCCTAAGGGACACAGTAAACCGACTGCTCTGGCAGGCATCCACAGCAGGGTCAAGTGTGACGTCTTGCTGGGCAGAGGGAACACACACACACACACACACACACACACACACACACACACACACATTCTAGTGGGCCAACTTCCCCATTAATACAAAATTAGCATCACTAAGGAGGCTCTTGGAATCATTCTCTCCACGACCACTTTAAAACAGACCTTTTATTTTGAAATTTTAGACTTAGACACAGGATGCTCCTATGCCACCCAGCTTTGCTCTCCACTCTGCCGCTAATCTATCCTACTTGTCGTTATTATGAGACATTACGGAGTTAGGCTGGCCTTGAATTTACAACTCTCCTGCCTCAGCCTTCCCCTAGCTGGAATTGTAGGTCTATGCCACCACACCTGGCTACCTGGGTACTTTTTAAACATTACAGAAGGCTGCGCCCGGGCCCACAGCCTTTGTGATTGCCATGGTCGGGGGCTGGGGACTGCAGTGAATGACACGTCTGGAGCTGGGAGCAGGAGCTCAGGGGAAGTGTGGCACCTTTGAGGCCATGAGTCCCTCCAGCTCCCTCCAGCTCCCTGGATCTTGGGGTTCGCAGCAGTAAAGGGCATCCTACAGGTTCCCATGGGGCAAGACCACTGACTGCTATGTGCAAGCTGAGCCCCAGGGTTCCCGTGCATTCCCTCTGCTGAGGTAGGCAGGGCGGAACTTCACACTCTTGGTTTCTATTTCTATTGTTAGATAATAGGGAGCCACAGAGCAGGCTACTGGAGTGGTGTGGCAGGCTGTGCTGAGGGGACTGTGTCGGCGAGATGGGGAGAGACAGCAGGAGGGGCACCAGGCGGAAGTGCATGGCGGTGAGGACTTGGGTTCTGACCAGGGGCAGCATGGGGTTGTGAGCGCTGTGCATTTGGGCTGGTTGCTTGGCCTCTCTGGGTCTTGGTCTCTCCTCTGTACCTAGCCGTGTCTTCTTCATGAGGGCTGAGCTGTGTGTGTGTCGTGGGGACACTTATGGAGCACAAGCAAACTCTGCAGCAAATATCGGTGAGTGTAGCTGGGAAGCATTGTCCCCTACCCACACACTGTCTGACTGATTCCATGGCCCTGGATCCAAGGAGTTTCTGAGCGTGTCCTCCCCTGTTTCAAAAGGGGGGAGTGTGGTGGCTGTCAGGGCAGCCCACACACACCTAGTCCCTGCCCACGCTCAGAGGCAAGAGAGTGGAAGCGGGGCTGGTGAGATGGCTCAGTGTCTAAAGCACCTACTTGGAACAAGCTTGGCAAAGCACAGGGACCGCGGTTCAATCCCCAGCACCACATGCCAGCCAGCCCCGCCCCCTGGTGGGCTGAGCTGGCCACACACACACACACACACACACACATAAA